TCTCATATCAGCACAGTGTGCAGGCCACGTGCAATGTGCGTCATGTGGAGGGACATTGACATCGAAGGGCAAAACAGGGGAATCAAGTGGAAGAAAAACAGAACGTAAGCCACTTGTCATCCATTTTCTGTTCCCATGGAGACACAATGAAGAATTTCCATCTGACTCTATTACAAATATAATTGAACCACTTGTTGCCATCTTTAACATCTCATTTAGGATCTACACATTTGGAGCTGACGGGGACAGGCTGATAGATCTTCAAGCAAATATGCTCCATGATGTTGAGAGCTTTCAGCCTCTTCAAAAAGCGACAATCTTTTTTTTTTTTTAGGATGAAACCGAGACATGTTTCACAAAAAAATAAATTGTGATTGATAGCAAAGGAGGGAAAGAGATCTGGATTGCAGATTCAATCCAAGGGAAGAGAATTGAAACTGCTTCTAAGAGTTACTAAAGGCAGATTGAGGTCAAGGGAGGTGGTTGATGTTGTCAAACACTAAGTTGTGCTGTCTAAGTTCATGGCTAATTCATTTGGCAGCTCATTAGCTTGTTGTATAGTGTTTACCCGCATATTGTATAGTGTTTACCCCTATCAGTGGTTGTATCTGGTGGCTGTAGATGATGAGGTAAATCAGTTATTTATAGTCACTGATTTTCTCATCACTAATGCCTGCAAATAAACACCACAAGTTAATGTTTGAGACCAAACATAATGCGTAAACTGCTACTAGCATGAACAAACAAAACTGTACCAAAGCCAAAACTTAAATATTGTATTATAAACATATCTGCGAATGCAAACAATAAATGTCTGGATATAGTTTACAAAACTGTTAGAATCCAATCATCCTTTCATTAGGCTTCATAAAGTTTGGGCCTAATAAATACATTTTACGTGGACACAACGCACCTGGAATCTGAATGGAGCCCAAAGATTTTCCAATATCTGGAGACTGGACAAACAGCCACTCAAATTGCCATGTCAATGTTTCCCCTAGATTTGGGCTTTGAGGAGGTGGGGAGGTGCGGGCAGACAGACGCCGACACAAACACTTGAAGGAATCTTGGTGTTCATGCGTTACTTTTAATGACAGCTGTCCTGTTCTATCGGAAAGGTATCCTTAAATGACTTCTTTCCCTGATTTCCAACTCTATCCACTATCCCATCTCTACAATAAAGGCACAAAAAGCCCCAAAATAAGCCCCCCCCCCCCCCCCCCCCCCCTAGAGGATTTAACCTCGTATTAAAATTGTTACTCTGGCAATATTAATTTGCTAATTGGCACCTTAAAATTGCAAGAAATGCATGCAAGTTGGCTAGTCTCTAACTGAGTATGGCAACCAGTTGAAAGCAGTCCTCACAAGTTTTTTTCTCCATCATTTTCTGTGTCACTCTACTGAAACTACAGCTGTACCAGGAACAGAGAAAATACCTTGTACCTTGAAACAGAAAGCTAGTATGTGCCAAGGAGCAAACAGGTATTGAAGTTGTTGGGAGACAGATGCGGTTTGTCACAGTTTAGAAATAAATCATTTAATCAACCAACCAGGAAGCAGTCAAACAGTAGTAATGGCACAAAGAGCAAAACACTAAAGAAGTCACCCAAGCATGAAGTCAGTTAATTCATCTCAACCTCTGAAGAGAAACTTCAGCAGCTTTCCAAACATATTTTCTTCTCCGAACCTTTGTGTTGGCATGCAAATGTGTCTCTGTGGACATCATTTCTGCGTGTGCATACATGCTCTACTTTCTGTGTTTGTATGCATCTTCATTTGAGGGAAGATATCTATATATGTATGCCTATATTACGTCTATGCGTGTGTGTATCATACAGACTTGTCAAGGCTTTTCCCTCCATGCTGAAGCAATAAAGGCAAGCCTTTTTTATTTTGTTCAGTCACGCACAAATTGTATGGCCTTGTGGTAAATCTCCTGACCAATTAAAGTGAGTTTTTGTGTGTGTGTGTCTGTTGCCTGTTCAAGGTTTGGATTTAATAAGCAGCAAAGCGAAAAATATTCATTTCAACCATGCTGTTAATTCACACTCCGAACTACCAAGGACACTGTGACAAAAAGTTCCAATGCTCCTTGTATTTTTTTCCTACGAGGAGCTCATGTTGAAATGTCTTTGTGTAATTTTTTTTTGTGAACACATACACACAGAGTGGTGCAAGGTAGGAATTCAATAAGCGCATGAATGAGTTTTGCCTATAGTCGATGCTCTGATTAAATCTTGAAGAACCTTGAAGCATAGATTTCCATATAAATAAGCAGACAATGATTTCCCTCTAACTACTATAACTTCTACATTGCGTTTGAAACAGTTCTGTTACTCACAATGCAAAGTATATGTATAAATATTTGTCTTAATGAATAGATTCAGTAGCAGAACTGATTACTTGTAATGAAGTACCAAGGTGATCGTGGAACAAATGGGTCTTGTTTTATTCATACCCTTGGAAGAAAACTTTTTAAGTGTTCACACAGGTGACGTTGACCCTTTAGTAATTAATTCATCAAAATAAGAAGGACTCATCAGGATGTTTTCCGACTTTGTTTTCTACTCGGCTGCGCTGATTTCTCATTATAATCACCCTCTCTGCCTGCTACAGAGCTACAAGAGTGAAACATGAATCAAATTTTAATATTTGCATCTTTCTCAAAATGAGACCCCAGGTGCTGTATTTGCAAAGACTACACATTCTTTCTCCTGTATCCTTTCTTTAAAAAAATGTTTTCTTTCTGCTTCAACGTCGGAGTAGTTATTCCTCTGTTCTACCTCTGTTACGAAAGATATATTTTCCTTTCTCTTTCATTATATCCGAACCACTTTAATTTGTTCTGCTTTATTTGTCAAAATGGAGGGGGGAAAAAAAGACAGCGAAAGAAAATAGAGTTAACAGGTGGAGATGAGAGGGAAGCTGAGACTCCGTGGGGGAGCTGATCTGGCGCTGGCATCCTGCCAAGAACTGAGGAGCAGAGAACTGAGGAGTGGAGTGGATCTGGGGAACAGGATGAAGTTGTGTAGAGCAGATTGGGTACTAAGGTTGAGAAGAGAAAAAAAAAAAAGAGCAGCAGGAGAGAGTCTAAGGGAACGAGGGGGTTTGGAGTTTAGGAGAGGAGAGACTGCAGGGTGAAAAGCAAACGGGGGGGCCGCAGGGACGAGGCAGACAGATTTAGGTTACGTTCACAGGAAGCATTCACAACTGGGGAAAAGACACATGCTTTTCACGTTTATGGAAGCCAAGAAAACTTAGAAAAGGGAAAAAGCTCATGTCTGTAATGTTGCTTCAGTGCAATCTTTCGTGGATTATCCAAGAATACACAAAACCCCAAAGTTGATTTTCAGTGAATGATTTGAAGGTTTATTTATTTCCAGCACAGCTGTACTCATTTTCCAGTCTGAAAGTTACAGTCAAAGAAGAGTGACGGTCCAGTGAGCAAAGCATTCATCCAGTCATGTGCATGGACGCTTCATAAAGCTAAAAAAAAAAAAGATGATGTGTCATCAGTGAGTTTTGCCTAAAGACTGATCAGTTGATCCAGGTTTGCGGGGGGGGATGTTATCAAAGCTTTGTCCCTGACAACAGCTGCGAGGGAGGAACCATGAACAGTCAAGTGGGTTGTTTTAAAATGAAAAAAAGATAGTGTGCAGAGTCTGGTGGGTTTATCACATTGAAGGCATATTAATTTATTTTTTGCTTGGTGAACTGGCAGCTTTTTTTTACTCATTACAAGTAATAAGGTATCTGGACTTGTTGGGTGAATGGAGCTTATAGTAAATGCTACTGTATGATTAAGAATTTGTAATTTTATCATTTCCATGCAAAAAAATACTCCATATAGCAGCTTCAGACATATGGTTTGAAATCATTGAGATCGAGATTCATATTTGTACTCAACAGCGAAAGCATGCCTACCTTTAGTTTCCTGCAGAGACTCACCACCAATGTCATGGCCACTCAATGTTTATGTTAAATGGTACGTTGGCTGTTCTCATCGCTGTTATGGTGTAGCTCCGCTCTGGAGGGAGGAATGAGGTGGAGGAATGTTGTGCACACGTGCCAATTTCTGCTTATTTACAGAGCCCTGGCTGAGACCAAACGCTGGATCTCTTTTAACCTCAGACATAAACTAAACTCAACAGTCAAAGAATTTTCTCTGATTTAAGTTAGTGTATTTGATTGTATCTCAGACCTTTAATTGAACCAAAACTTTAGACATAAAGCCCTCTTATTATACCTGCAATTGCACATAGTAAGTTTGGAATATCCCATATTGTTATCTGGATATTTATGTGACTCTCTCTGGAGTCATAATGAGCAAAAAATCTGGATTCTTGTGAAATCTTTTTTCATGCTGATGCGTCAAATGATGGTGGGGAAGTGAAAGAGTGTGAATGGATAATAGTCAGTGGTATTCTTAAAAAAAACGTATATTGTCTGCTCTCAACCTGTGTAGTTCTTTTTATAATAATCCATGTCTTTGCAAGTACTTCCCCACACAGCATGACTTAAATAATGAACACATTTTATTGTTGAAACTGACTTTCATTAAAGCTGTCGAGCAGAAAACCATTACTCTTCAACGCTGTCTTCAAAAAAATCTTCACTTCCACCTATACTTGACATTCTAATCTGTGATTGCAGTTTGGAAATGATACATTTTTAATGATTTGTTTCACAAGCAATCAAACATTTTGTGGCAGAGAAATCTAATTATGGAGAGAGATTTGTTTTCAAAGACGAAAAAACAAAATGCAGCCAGTCCAGAGGAAAGTCTTCCATTTTTTGTTTTATTTTATTAGAAAAAATCCACACACCATAAAAATTACATGTACAAAACTATAAGATTTGAAATTGCTTTCTGTACACATACAAAAGATAAAGCCCAAAGAAAAAGTAAAGGGGGGGGGGGCGGACGACGACGACACACAGAGAGGGGGCATGTGAAGACAAAGCATTTGTGTGTTATTATTTTGTCCTTTTTTTTTTAAGGGGGGGGGGGGTAGTGTGTGTGTGTTTGAGGTTTTCTGTCTGTTTGCTCTTTCATTACTCTCTGCAGGGGACAGCCATGATGGTTATGATGGCACTAGTAAATGGTGGGGAGTGCAATTATGTGCACACATACACAAATGGATGGTATATATCTGAGATGGCACTTCATATCCAATTTACAACAACCAGCATGGAGCTCGACGTATCAGAATGATGAAGAAGGTGCTTATATAGAGCACCCGTGTCATTGGTTGATCTAAAGGGTTTTCTGTCAGACACATGTGGAGGTGTAACAGTTCAGGAATAGAGCAAGTGAGATGTTAGCTGTTATTTGTCATGATGTGTGCACATAAACACACTCCGTGATGGTAATGACATCATGATAAGGGCCTGTATGACTACAACCAAGATGTTGTCAATGCAGTCGTACACAGTCTTTTTTGTTTTTCTTCACATTAACATATTCAGATTCCCATTGTAGACCTGTGACATTCTCCTGAAGTGACAGATATGATGATTTTGGTGAAATCAGTGGGGATAACGAGTGAAATTGTTGTGATTTGGCTAACTGGCACCCCTCTTCTTGATTTTTTTTTTTTTTAACTCTTATCTGTTCATCCGTGTTCGTCTTCAGCTTGTGGCTTTCCTTCTGGTCAGTGGGTCTGAAAGAAAGGAAAATTGAGAAACAAGACAAGAAAATTAGGTTACATTTAATGATTCAGAGTTTGCTTTGGTTGCAAATTAAAACATGACCACCAAACTTTTTTTTAAAATCTCGGCTAATGATATCTGGGTATGGATCCAAATTGATTTAGAATATGAGACATGTAGTTCCAAATTTCAACAACTTTAAAATCACATAATTTCCTTGCTCAAAATAAGTATATCTGAACATTTTGATCACAAAGCTTCATTTTCAGCACATTTTCAGCCTTGGGCGGTCAAAACTGGATTCAGCTGGAATAACTTAGCTGTTTGCCTGTTAACATTTGTGTGGCGTTAGTCATTGGCAAAGCTCTGTCAGTGTGGTTTTTTTTTTGTGTGAATTTGTGTGAAAGCTTTTCTCAAGTGAAGGCCACCGAGCCAGAGTCAATTTCTATCTCTGTATATCAGACCGGGTCCAATCAGCAGCCGATTGTACTTCACATCATGAAGAGTACTTCACTTCACCTTCACTTGTAAAAAGGATGGTTATGATAGACAGATACTCACCAGGCTACTCTGATTACATAATATAAACAATCCACTTTATTTATTCACCTGTGTCCATCCCATTACATGTAGCTTTATTTTACTATTAGAAAATCCCAAGAAAACTGCAGATCCTGAAACTAACAAATCTTTGAATCCAGCAAACCCAAGTCACTAGTAAGACAAATTTCACAGTCTAACAAAGTGCCAATGCTGGAAAAGCCCTGAATCCAGACTTGTCAGTGCGACCACATGTAGAGGGCTGTCAATTTCCCTGTTCAAGCAAATTATGAACTGCTTTCTGCTAAGTGTCTATAGATTTATAGGAAAGGTGTTATGGAAAGTGACCGGGTGCTAAATGATTAGCTGTCACATTGTAAATGGTCCTTCGGGGGGGAATGCTGAGATGTAAAAGAATACGATCAAACAAATAATTTAAATATTTGTCTAATGTCACCCAAAATGGCACAAAAGAAACACACTATGCATGTGTGTGTGTTTACATGTTAACCAAACAGCACAGCAAAGTATTGCAGATGTTGATGCATCATAAATGGTAAAGTGCTTATAGGTGGTGTTGGTGATTTGCCAGGCCATATTTTAATTTCAGATTGGGAACACATTCTTCTTCGCAAACTTATTAAAAAACAAAGAGCGGTATTAAAAAATATATATGTTTTTTGTTTGTTTGTTTTTATCAACACAACAACTCATGTTACTTTGTCCAGCAGCAGTTCTGTTGATGGGACAGAGGGGGCAACAAGTGCGGGACAGGGAGTCAACTTTAACCCCGGTAGAATTCACACAACTTTTGAAGGATTACAATTTTTTCCTTCCATTTCCCATTGTGAGACTGACAAATCCGAAGAAACACAGAACAAGCAGATGATAGTCCTAAAAGTTCCATCCTACTCTGATTATCCCTCGCAAGCGCAGACTACTTCTGTTGAGACACGCTCATAAACAGACCGCACTGGGCGCTGCTCTCTTGCTGCTAGATCACCCATTGACAGCTCTCTTCCCCTCCGCTAAAGCCAAACTGGTTGCGGAGAGTTAGCTAGTAGTAGCCTAAGTCACTTCACATCAGAGAGTTACAGACCCTCTGCTGCTGCTGATTATCTAAAATATGTCTTTCTGGACGAGGATGAAAAAACACTTCCATTGTTGAACAGCTACGATGAGCAACTATCTATTTCTCAGACTGCATTCATAAGGGTAAATGGCAGCGCCAGACTTCTATTAGAGTTCCTCATTGCATACTTTAAATCAAAGCAGGGGTACGCAGCATGCATTATTTTGACTTTCAAGTAGTCATTCATTAAGAATTTGGTCCAAACTGCACCTACATAAACATCACGATCCCGGGCTGTAAAACAAATACTTTAAGACAAGATTACTGAAGGCTAATCCCCCCAAATCCTAATTAGAAAGTGACAAATCTAACATCTAATACGACATAAGCATTCACCAGGACAAAATGAACCCTAGAAACCTTACCAATAAAAACAATGGAACAAGACCCTGAGCCTGAACTTTTGCTGCAACATAATCCTGTAATAAACTTAGCATTTAACAGCAACAACAATCACAAGAATGAAAAAAAACACTAATTCCAGGGCTTTGTTCAGCTTGACATTTTCAAACAAAACCTCATCTCCTAATAACAGCCTTCCCTGTGTTACCCCTGACACCATTATATGGGTGATGGTTTAAATCCGCCCAATAAACTAATAACACACCACAGAGCACTTAATGCCTCTAACGCCTGAAAGACACCAAAATATCAACACTCTCTGATCTTGCCGTCGTCTTACTATCCCCCAACACAAATACACTGAATCAGCATTTATAGTGTGAAGCTGACAATAAAACAGCCAAAGAGATGGTGTGAAGCAAGAACCTTAAACCAGCAGAAGATTGTAATCCACACACAGTCCCTTTTTTTCTCTCAGGAGAAAATGGGATTCTGTTCAGATAAATAAGTGGAGGGGTGCTAACTCAAAGCCGCTGCAGTAGATAGAGGTGTGAATTCCTGCATTGCCTTTCCGAGGATTTCATTAACACTTCATTTTACCTGCCACATGTATCCCATTAGAAGACTTTTAAGGCAGGATAAAAGGAAGCAAGAATGATGGTTATGATAGTATGGGAAACAACAAAATGTTTACGATCTCACAAATTTAAAAAAAGTGTGAGGGAAGATGGAGGTTTAACACATTTAATTTCCATCATCGTAAATTAAAATGCATCTCATTCTCTACTTTGATCATTAGTGTGATCAATGCAACATGTCGTGTTATCACTGCAGTTACACAGGCTACTGTACTTAACTTTTTCATGACACCTCATTTAAGGTACTCAAAGAAGTGCTGGAAAAGACAAACAATAAATTCTCCCTGGAGTTTACAGTAAGTTTTGGGAAAACATATCTGCTGCCATTTATATGTAAATGGCTCAAGGTATTTTCCTGTATCATTTTGTTACCTGCTGAATAACACTAAGCCATTTGTTTCTTTTTGTTCTTTTCTTTTTTCTTTTATTCATTACTTTGCATCTGTATCCTGAAGGTCCACAATGCGTCAAATAATTCCAGTTAAAAAAACAATCAGGTGTGTGGCAGAAAGCAGCAATGAGGAGATAGAGAAAGAGGAATAGAGTTTTATGTTCATGAATGTTATCTATAATCTAATACTTTGTGGTAATTCTGCCGCTTTATTCTGCATCTGATGTTGCTATATTACCTTGTCGCAAACACACGCACACAAACTCACACAAGCACACACTCTTCTTTGAGTTAAAACACAATTGACTTTTAAAAGTCCCATGTATCACTTAGATGTCAGCCAGCTATGTTTTTTTTTTTTTTAATCATGTTTCATATTTAAAGTGGTAATGAATACAAGCACTGCCCCTTCATTTGCACCACAGGCCCTCAGTGCCACTTAATGATTATTCTGCAGCCCTCAACTAGTAGTTTCAATCACTTCCAGTGCTGCAGTATTCACGTATCTGACAGATGTGTTCTAATGGAAAAATAATAGTTAACAGACATGAATACCATCCAGTAGAGCACTGAGTGCAGACCCCTGCAGGGGTTGCGAGATAATTTCTGGGGGGGTCGCCAGATGGTTGTGGAGAAGTGGAAAAAATTGCATTTGAAAATTTAAGCAACATGGTGCACCAATGGCCTAGTGTTTATGTCAGCGCCCCATGTACGGAGGCTGAAGTCCTCCTTAACTCTTTGTTGCATGTAATCCCCCAATCTCTCCACCCAACACGTCCTGTCTGCCTTCAGGTGACAAAGGCAAAAGGCCAAAGTAAAAGAAAATAGAAATTAAGCAACATATTTTTGACTGGAGGTCGGTTTTTACATCACATCGGCTGTACCAGTGGTATAATTGGTCTTATGGGGCTGTTTTAGTCTGGCAGTGTGCTGGCTGTGTGATGGCTCCTGCTAGTGTGTCATGGTATTCACACAGACTACTGGTTTGCTGTGTGAGAAACTGCTGTCAGCCGTCACATTCTTTTTAAGTTCTGCCCAAAATAAGGCCATTAACTACCTGTTAAAAACATTTCTTTGATTAATTAATGTCACAAGGATCGATTGTCTCCAGGAAAGGGCAAAGAGGTGTGTGTTCAACTTACGCGTCAATCAAATATACATATTAATCACTCTTCACTTAACAGGCTGTTTGCCATGACTTTACAGAGCTGGTTTTGGGGTTGAATCTTTAGAAAGCAATCATATTTAATGTTAATACGGGGTGTATAATTTATATTAAGCCGCAAAAAATGACTGTACAGAGGGAAGAGGGAGACTAAGTGAATGAGAGATCCTCTCTGGAGTCGAGAACACCAAAGCTTTTATTATCGGGGGTCGCGACTCAAAGAGGTTGCAGTGGAGAGCTGTCTTATGATTATGCATTGTGTTTATTGCTAAGAAGTGGTGCAAATACACTAAGATAAGTGCGTTGAAAGTAACAGATCAAAGTAGGAGAAAGAGGGAGTTGATGTGTTGAATTTCAAATTCATACTCTGAAACCACTTTGTTTGATGTGATAAGGGTGGTGGGATGTAGACTTCTATTGAATACACAAGTCGACAGCAGTGCTTTTTAAACATCTGAATATGCTGTGCTACTGACCTTCACAAGTAAATGCTGGAACACTGAGAGCGAGATCTTTTTTTGCGGAACAAATCCCAGTGGCGCTCACATTTGAGTGCAGTGTTTTTTTTTTTTTTTCCAGGGCTACTTCGGTGCAGTTTAGTATTCACAGCTTCCAGATGCTTTTCCAGGGTGGCAGAAATTTTAGTGCTTTTTAGTGCTACTGACACATGAATCCATCCACAGAATCACTCTCACAGTCCAGGAGGGACACACTCATTCATGCTGGAGTATCAGCTAATGCTTCATATAGTCCTCGTAAATGCACACATATCACATTTAAAATAATATATATACAGCCGTATC